TTTAATGATAAATATATGGGCTTATTTGCACAGTATTGAAGGGATGTGTTGTCCCCATTAAGCCAAAATATTGACGAATATGCCCTTATTAAAAACAACACACTTCTTTAAAAAAATTGACGCCTCCTTCTTCCAACGCTTCCCTTCAAAGTTCAAACCCTAGCCACAAAGAAAACGTTCTCCTTCCCATCGTTGTTGTTCGTTTCCGACGACCAGTGACCCCGTCGCTGCACCTCCTCCGTTGCTGCACCTCCTCCATCCCTGCTCCTCCTTCGTCATTCCTACCTTACGATCATCGACTTTGCTCTGTTCCACCTACAGTCGATCTTGGCATCTCTCAGGCGATCATCGACTTTGCATCATCGCCTACCTCCGGCGACAGTCTATCTTTATCTCCAACAGTATACATTTTTCCTCCCCCATTGCACCGTTGATGACAAGAACAATCTTCGACCGAAGAGCCGTAAGCAAATATAACATGTATCAGGAATTGATCCAAGCTACTGTTGTCTTTGTGTGGATTATTTTGGGTATTTTTAGGTTTTGGTTTGAAGAACAATAGTTTTTCTTGTTTGATGAATAACAACCTTTTGTTTTGATTTTGATTCGATTCTTGTAGCATTAGCTTTTTTTTATGTTTAAATGGTTTGATTATTATGTTTTGATAATTTGATGTTCAAATGTTTGATTATTATGCTTAAATGTTCAAATAGTTTGATAGATTGGTAGCTTTTTGGTTTGATGAACAATAGATTTTTTGTTTGAGTTTGATTGAATTGCTGTAAAGTTCAAACATGTTTGAGGGGTAGATTGGTCAGTATTATCATTTAGACGACTGATTCAGATAAAAAAGTACACAACAAGTTTTTATCTAGATAGACAAATTTATGCATACAAAACTTAATGGAAAATTTGGTAAATAGCCCTAAGTCTAATACGAATTATCAAAGAACAGTACAATTCATAAAGAGTTGCTAAAGCCCATGAAGGCCCAATCAAGTTTTTTAAAGAACCACTAAAGCCCATAAAGGCCTAATAGTTCATTAAGAGCCATTATAACCTGTCAAAGGGTTATAGATTTCATTAAGAGTCACTGAAACACATGAATGACCATTACACATCAATCATTTAGTAATTATTTTTAACCATAAAACTATGTACCATCAAGGCCTGTTATCGTTCTAAAAGTTGTTAAAGCCCATTAAGACCGAATCAAGTTCATTAAGAATCACTGAAGCCCATGAAGATCCAATACAACTTATTAACAACCACTTAGTCCTGTATGATCCACCTAGGGACACTGGAGTTCATCAAGAGTCACTAAGTCAAATATGACCCACCAAGCTCATTAAGGCTCAATACAATTTAGTAAGTATGTGTAACTTAGTGTATGAATGTATGTATAACTCGGTAATCCGTTGGTAAAATCTGTCGGTAATCCATCGGTGATTCCATTTCCCATGGCCTTTTTACCGACAGACTTTCACCAATGGATTACCGACCAGATCTAGCTTTTAGTGATGGATTACCAACGAATTTGTCTGTCGAGGATAGTCCTTTGTTTTGTAGTGTCAATTTTCTGCTTAAAAGCATATCTATGCCAGAATGCGACCTTGGTCGCGGCTAAAACCGCGCCCAAAGTTGCCCTACATCAAAATCATGTGTAAACAGTCCTAATGCGGGTTATGGTGTGGCTAAACCCGTATGCCAGCCCGCATTGCCCACTGTTTTGACTCTCAAGGGCCTCTTTCTTAAGACTTAGCACAAAAACCAAACCATAATGTTTCTGAGCAATGTAACTTGACAAAAGAGAATTTAGTGATTAAATTAACACACATAACACAAATGCAATGAAAAGTCCAAAATTCTGGGTGTTACAGAGAGGAGAGCACCGGATATGAAGCCGATCTAGCTGCATGCATAAATTTATGCGTAGATTTCTTCCCTCCCCCTCCTATAACTAGTTACTTATACGAACATAGCTTTTAACCGAATGACTTGTTTTTGTTTATTGGTAATCCGATATACAAACGTTATGCATAACTTATACAGGATAATATGTGAATTTTTAATTATTAAGAAAATCATTATCACCAATCTGAATTTTCGACAAAAAAGAGTCGGCAATAAATAACAGTTTTCAACCTTCGGTAATCATATCGGTCACTGATTTCAGCTTTCGGTAATTTGGCGATAATATCATCCTTCAGTAACCCTTCACTGAATTTAAGTTTTGGTAATCCATTGTTGAAAGGGTTTTGTTGCAAATTCTTCCATTTTGTACGTAACAGTCTGGATTGCTTTACTCCTCGGTAATCCATTGGTGATATTCTTTGGCAATCTGTGGGTGAAATATTTACCCACAAAGTTCTTTTGACAGACTTTTCAACGACAAATTAAATCACCAACGATATCGATTTTCACCGACGGATTGCTCTAAAGATTCTTCCTTCGGTAAAAGCGTTTTAAAATTGAAGTGAATTTAACCGAAAATATGTAATTGGTATGTGTATATTTCTAGATCCATATATGATTTAAAAAACTTAAAATTACAATTTCGTTTAAATGCTAATGGCTTGAAAGTGACCTTTCGCAAATCCTATTTTGAGTTTTAACTTTCGAAAACAGTAAAAAGAAGTTCATGAAAATGCTTGATCAGGTCTACAACAGTTGCGAGGACTTCCTTTTAGTTTTTGTAATTAATAGAGTAATTTTTTTTATTAATCTGGATATCCAACCCGTTATGCAAGCTGACTAATCCAGGGCGACCATCTGCTTTGCAGATTGTCCGGAGTCACCCCATTTAAACCTCTGTGACCACAAGGGAATTTTTATTCCTCCTTGGATTTGAACCTGAGACCTCCTGATACTTTTGACCTATGGAACAGTCAAGCTCAAACCAATCAGGCACCACCCTTGTGGTTTGATAGAGTAATTTTAAAAACTGTATTAGAAAATTATAAATTCAAATAACTTCTAGTCAAAAAGAATTGATCGATATTTAATTAAATTGTGGTCATGTTTTCTTAAAATTTTCCATATCATTACTACTCATACGATATTATACATATACATGTTACATGCTTTTTTAAAGAGATGAATTATTATGGAACCTTTTACGTTTGTACAACCAATACAACTCAATTTCAACCGTACGTCCATTTAATTTGATAAATATGTGATTTTATAAAAGTTATGATTGTTTTTTGATATAAAGTATTGATCATAATTAATGAACCCTAATCATCTTTCATAAATATTCAAATCAATATAAATAAACTCTCATCATTTTTATAAATATCTCAATTAATTGAGTTGCATTGGTTGTACAAATGTAATGGTTTGCATTTGGTTCTTCTGCAATTGTCGAGTACTTTTCATCTGCATGCAGAAGTCCTTATACAATATTAGTTTGTATCAAATTAATCTATGGACCTATATGCTGGTCTCCAATTGATGATCAATCTTGTTTACAGTACAGTGCAAGTAAACAATTAATGGTATGGTTTGAAAAGGAAAAACATTTACGAGGATGCGGATGCTATAAAAGTCTGTATTCATGACGTTGGAAGTAGGAAGAAAATTTGGATGACTGAATTGATGTACGTAAAACAAGGGATTCTTGGTTAAAATGTTTACAGAATCGAAAAAACCATCATAGTCACTGCATAACGCTGCATATATACTATATATATATAACGCATACGTGATGATTAAGTGTATTGAAAACGACCATGCAGGTACCTCCAATGAGTAGTTCTACTCATACGCTAAAGAGGCTTTTAATTTCATCTATCAATGTGTTATACTGCTACTTTTGCGGTGACTATATTAATGACTGTATCTATAACCCTTTATGTATATGTGCTCAAAAATAGAAACGTTTACACGGGGTATACGTACATTTAGACTTAATAGTGTATGTAGGTTAGTTGCTTGCTACTCGGGGTTTTGGACTATCAGTAATACATGTATGGTTAATATATATATGGTGGTTTTCCGAATCTTTCTTGAAAAAGTTGATGATTATGCAATCTATACATTTATACTTGTTTCGTGGCTAAAGATTTGTTGAAGATTATCGCAGAATCAAATGATAACAAAATGGGACCAGAAACCCAAATACTAAAACAGTGTAAGGGGTCATTTGTCATGATGCGGTCTTACTTGGTTCACCAAAAATACGTATTTGTTCGACAAAATCTGTGATTTCTTACATTATCTTGATGTAATTATGTCGGTATTTAATTACTTGCTTGCAATTTAACTACAGGTTTATGTATAATATAAGATAATTAATAAAGTATTGTATATATGGAAGAACAGTGGGTGCGACCCCATGGCCATGGATCTTCTCGATTCTCTCTCATTCTTGTTCTAGTTGTTGCACGAGGAAAATGAGAGAGAGAGAGATATTTGAAGATAGCGGTGGTTTCAGATGTGGTTTTCTAAGAGATTTTAAGGTCGAAGGTCGTAGTTAAGATGTAGGCGTGCCTCCCGCTGCCTTCGCCATTGGACCCACTCCTTCTTATTCAATTACTTCTTCTTGGGACCCCCCCTGGTCCTAACAACACCCTCTCTCTCTCTCTCTCTCTCTCTCTCTCTCTCTCTCTCTCTCTCTTTCTATGGTTTTGGTGTTTAGGTGGTTGGTTGTTTTCTAAGTCGCAGACCCTACACTAAAAGTAGCAACACACAATGCCCACAACTCCCAACTCTGCTACCTCATTATGATCATTTCTTACCCTACTTCACCATCCAATTTTTAATTTTTTACAGTGTGAATTCCATCGGGTGAGTGTTTATCATACAAACGCAAACGGGTTAAAATGAAAGTTTAGGGACCCTTATGCCATCATATACACCAAAAGGTTTCATGCGTTGAGTTTATTTGGACCCATCTCCCTCCTCTTCTATATAAATAATCATGTCCTTGCAACCACTTTTATGCACTCCACGCCTCTCTATCTTTTTGCTATCATTCTCTCTCTTTAATTTCTCTGGTAATGTCTGAAGAGGAAATGAATTTGTCTGTAAACGTTAATGGCCAGTCTAAGGTGCCTCCAGGGTTTCGGTTCCATCCCACCGAAGAAGAGCTTCTTCACTATTACTTGAGGAAGAAAGTTGCTTATGAGAAGATTGATCTTGATGTTATTCGTGATGTAGATCTTAACAAGCTTGAGCCTTGGGATATACAAGGTATGCTACGTGTATGATTAATCAAGTAAGATATTCATTTGTATCCTTTATGAAAGATTAATTGTATATGCATGTGGGTTTTGGCAGAGAAGTGCAAAATAGGATCCACCCCCCAAAATGATTGGTACTTCTTTAGCCACAAAGATAAGAAGTACCCAACAGGGACCAGAACCAATCGAGCCACTGCTGCAGGTTTCTGGAAAGCTACTGGCAGGGATAAGGTCATCTACAGTAGCTTTACAAGAATTGGTATGAGGAAAACACTTGTGTTCTACAAAGGGAGAGCACCTCATGGCCAGAAATCTGATTGGATAATGCATGAATACAGGCTCGATGATAACACAGTAGTTACTACCCAAGATGCCTGCGTAAGTTTTTAATTTGGCCTTGACGTTATTAAATTCTAAATAATTGGAGTTCCATCACTTTTGATCAAATTGGACTTTCGACTCTGGTACGTATTTTCCAAATTTGAAAATATGCTTTAACAAGAAGATTTCTGTTTAATCGAATATTTTCAATGGATTTTGACGGTAAATATAGCCCATTTAACATCAAATCAAGTAAGAAATACCAGTTTTAGATTGCAAAAAAGTCAAAAACTACGTAACTGGTTTTCCAAAGGACTCCACCAACCTGATTGGAGTTTTGACTTGTAATCCATGCTCAAAATCTGTAACATGATTTGTTTTTATATTATTTAAGAATCTTTTTCTTAAAAGCTTGCTGTACATCCATTGATGAAGGATCCTTGATTAATATGATGATTTTTTTGATTCAGGGTTCTAACTTGTGTGATTCTACTCAAGAAGATGGGTGGGTGGTTTGCCGTGTTTTCAAGAAGAAAAATTACCACAAGGCGCTAGAGAGCCCCCAGAGATCGATATCAGCCTCCATGGATTCAAGAACCCAGTTGCAGTCCTTAAACAAAGATGGTGTTCTTGATCAATTACTTGTGTACATGGGAAACGGTAGGTCTTGCAAGCAAGAAATCGAATCTCTTACCGCAAACCAGAATGCTATGCAGCAATTCGTTAGCCCTATTAATGACAGATTCTACCACCTTCCAAGGCTCGAAAGTCCCACCATGACCCTCTCACCTCACGACAGCTCTGCCTCAGCCAGCTTCGATCAAGGCTTGAGTTTCAAGCCGCATATAAACGACTTCCTGACAGAAGCCGGACAACCAAGAAACGCAGATACTAGCCAGCTGGTAGACGACCATGACTCAAGAGAGCGTCTTGATAATTGGGCAGATCTTGAGCGGCTCGTGGCTTGTCAGCTGAATGGACAAGTAGACTCTTCAAAGCAGATGTACACTTGCTATGGCGAACCAAACGAAGAGTTCTGTTTCCCACTTGACCATGATGAGCCAGCTGGAGCACCGCAGCTCTGTGATTCAACCACAACGACTAGACCGAACCAAGCCACGTATACAAGTGAGATAGATCTGTGGAGCTTTGCTCGATCATCTTCATCTTCTTCATCCCCGGATCCGTTATGTCACTTGTCAGTATAAAATTAAACGTACGTAGAGGTTAAAACTGTGAAAGATATGATACAACAACTGAATAATATAAAATAATATAAAATAGGGTTTAGGGTGGTGCATGAATTGACCAATTGCAACGTGATTGATGGCTAGGTAGCATATGGGCTGGGCAGAAACATTCTATACACACATATTATATAGAAAAGGAATGAATAAGAATCCGTGAATAAAGGTATATGTTTGTATGTATGTATTGGTGATGGATTTGTGGGGTGCACAATAACCATGCATATGTCTAACATATCATCATGTACATGTACATATACATATATATATATATATATATAACTGTTGCGATATAAGCTAGCTTGATCATGAATGTACGACAAGACACTCTGTGTATGTATATGTTTGTAAAATGATTGATGGTTGATTTAATGAGACGAGGTTGGTCCCATGAAAAGGCTTCACTAGCTAGTAAATGTTCAGCTCGTATATATAAAAAGGTGTATGAAAAGTCGACCACCTTTTTTCCAATTGATATGAAGGTATACCACTAACAAAGATAGGATTATCCCCTCCAACCTTCCACATTCGCTTTGTTAGCTACTTTTCTGTCTCTTAATTATCCATCGTCATCAACATTCATATATATATATATATATATATATATATATTATATTATATAGATTGGTTATTATATAACTCTTTACATTTGTACAACCAATATAACCTAATTTCAACCATCCATTTAATTTGATGAATATGTAATTTCATAAAAGTTTTGATTGTTTCCTAATATAAAGTATTCATCATAATTAATGAACCATATTCATCTTCCATAAATATTTAAATCATAATAAATGAACTCTTATTATTTTCATAAATATTTCAATTTATTGGGTTGCATTGATTGTACAAATGTGATGGATTGTATTTGAAACAAACTATATATATATATATATATATATATATATATATTTCTTGCTATTTTTCGGATTTTAAATTATCACAAGTATCTTGATCGATCAAAGCATAACATTATGATCAAAACTGGTCAATGCCTGGTTTCTTTAATGTGTGTGTGTGTATATATATACATACATACGAATGAAAAGAGGAGGTGTGTCGTCCATTTGAACATGATTACATTTCTGTTAGACAACTAACCCACCACACCCAACTCCACTAGCTGCGTCGTACCAATCACAAATGTTGCTCATAAACGCTTTTAAGTTTATATTTTGTAACACAATCCCACTTTGTTTTAAGGAAACACACATTAGTAAATTATATATATATATATATATATATATATATATAGAGGGATGTTATTCTACACCCTTTGTCATTCCTACACCCTATACAACCCTCATCTCAACCATTCAATTTTTAATCAATTAATTGTTTCCTAATATAAATTATTAATCATAATTAATAAACTCTATTCATATTCCATAAATATTCAAATCATAATAAATGAAC